AAAAAAAAAAAAAAATCCAATTCAGGTGAATTTTTTGTAAATTACTACATTGGGGGAAAAATTCAGGCTTAACAAACTGTAAACTGCCAATTAACTTTAGATTGCATAACCAAAAATTTCCATCTTCTTGGTACGAATTAAGAAACTACGTAACTGTACCCAAACAATTATTGAATTTGGTTTTCACCATTATTCACCTTACAAAACTCTTTCCGTCAAACCCCTTCAATAGACCATAAACTATAACCCATAGCTGAGTGCTCTACAATTTTAGAATCGCTCTTTGATTAAATTCTTTAATATTTTTGCGGCGACTTTCATAAATTTTTAACAGGAGAAAACAGGAACTGGGAACCTCATGGACCAAAGCTCTTGGCATTCCTCAACCCGCACCCCGAGTCAGGATTCTCCCCGATGACCCTCCTGTGGTCCCCGCACAATCTGAGAGAGACGCGGTGCTGCGGGTGCAAAGCTGCCCAAAGCGGGCTCCAGGCCAGGACATAGTCACTGTGCAGAGAAGAGACGGAACGCCCAGGGCCAGTTGTCAGCACAGCCTCCATCTTATGGCTGAAGGGGACTGAGGCTGAGGTGGGCAAGGAGTTAACTAGGGATACAGATTGTGGAGCTGACTGCGGTGAGGCCTGAGTCCGCCACAGCCACTTCCCACCGGTTCCAACCAGCCCCTTCCCCGCTCTCGGGATGTGGGACCGGCACTCTCACCATTTCTCGGCTGTCAGGGGGGTCCTGGAGTCTTAGCTTTGGATCTCCCAATACCGCAGGTCACGGGGCCTCAGAGGATGGACCTCTAGGAGCAGAGAACAAAGACCACTGAAGACGAGACCCAGAGCTCCGGCAGCAGCACGAGACAAAGGGCCCGCCACATCCCGGAAACAGCCCTTTCCGCTCCAGCTGCATGCCTGATTGGACAGCTTCCAGCCCAGAGTCCCTGATTGGATAATGTTTAAGGCCCCCCCACTTCAAGCCCTGAGTGACAGAAGATATGATCAGACGCTGCGCTGAATGAAGAAAAAGTGACAGCCTAGGTTGCAGCCTTTTCAGGAAGGGCTTCCTCCCTGAGGTAAGCCAGGCCCACCCCAGAGCACGGGAAAAATCTCTTTTTTACTCTTTCTCTTTTTAAACGTATTCGAAATGTGAACAAACAGGTTTTACTGTCATATTAATACTACATAAAATTTTTTCTTAAGAGTAAATCAATTTTTACTTTACTAATAGTGGATTATCAATACTAAAGGCCGGACGTAGTGGCTTACGCCTTTAATCCCATCAATGTAGGAGGCTCAGGCGGGTGGATCACCTGAGGTCAATTCAAGACCAGCCTGGTTGACATGGTAAAACCCCTCTTCTACGCGGGCGTTGTGGTGGACCCCTGTAATCCCAGCTACTAGGGAGGCTGAGGCAGGAGAATCGTTTGAACCCAGAAGGCGGAGTTTGCAGTGAGCCGGGATCGCGCCATTGCATTTCAGCCTGGGCAGCAAGAGTGAAACTCTGTCTAAAAAAAAAAAAAAAAAAAAAAAAAATACTAAAGCTAGTTTATTTTAGTAAAACAACCTTATAAATAAACCCATCAAAATTGTCCTTTTTGACCACTCTAGATTTTCATATATATTTTATAATCTCTTATAATTTTTTAACTTTTCTATTTTATTTTAATCTACTTTAAAAAAAAAAAGAATTTGAAACAAAGTTTTTTTTTTCTTTTTTTGAGATAGAGTCTCGCTCTGTCGTCCAGGCTCAAGTGCAGTGGCATGATCTCAGCTCACTACAACCTTCGCCTCCCCGCTTCAAGCAATTCTCCTGCCTCAGCATCCCAAGTAGCTGGGACTACAGGCGTACGCCACCACGTCCGGCTAATTTTTGCATTTTTAGTAGAGACAGTGTCTCACCATGTTGGCCAGACTGGTCATCAACTCCTGTCCTCGGGCAATCCGCCCGCCTCGGCCACCCAAACTGCTGGGATTACAGGTCTGAGCCACGGCGCCCGGTCCAACCTTTATTTTTAACTAGACAAAATGTTTCTAATTTTCTTCGTCAAAAAGATATTTTCCATTTGTTTATACACTCTTTGTTGTTGTTAGTTTTTGAGACAGTCTCGCTCTGTCACCTAGGCTAGAGTGCAGCGGCGCAATCTCAGCTCACTGTAACCTCTGCCTCCTGGGTCCAAGCTATTCTCCAGCCTTAGCCTCCTGAGTAGCTGGGCACCAGCTCCCGCCACCATGCCCAGCTAATTTTTGTAGTTTTTAATAGAGACAGGGTTTCGCCATGTTGCCCAAGCTGGTCTGGAGCTTCTAAGGTCAAAGTGATCCACCCACCTCAACCCTCCCAAAGTGCTGGGATTACAGGCATGAGCCACCGCGCCCAGCGTTTGTTTATACACTCTCTATGGAAGATTGTTTTTATTACACCTAGTAGTTTTAATTATATGTATATAAATTACATTAACCCTTAACCAAATTTTTAGTGAAATCCCCACAAAGTAGTTTGGAACTGTTTTGTGTCGATATTTTTAGATAAAAAACATTTTATGTTATTTTATGTTTTTTTTGCAATTTTTTTTGTTAACTAACAGATCTAAATATATTTAGTTTTTATATCATATAACAAAAAAAATTCTGGTCAGATCTGGTGGGTCATGTTTTTAATTCCAGCACTTCGAGAGACCAAGACATGAAGACTATTTAAGCCCAGGAATTCAAGACCAGCCTTGGCAACATGGCAAAAACCTGCGTCTACAAAAAATGCAAAAATTAGCTTAGCATGGTGGCCTGTATCTGTAGCACCAGCTATTCAGTGGCTAAAGCAGGAGAATTGCCTGAGCCCAGGAGGTTGTAGCTACAGCAGCCTTCCTCCTTCTCTGGGGTTCAAGCGATTCTCCTTCCTCAGCCTCTTGAGTAGCTGGAATTATAGGCACCCACCATCAAGCCTGGCAAAATTTTGTATTATTAGTAAAGGCGGGGTTTCACCATGTTGGCTGAGCTGGTCTTGAACTCCTGACCTCAGGTGATCCACCAACTTCAGCCTCTGAAAGTGCTGGGATTACAGGCTTGTGCTACTGCACCCAGCCCTAAAGGCTTTTTAGATGAATATTTAGAGTTTCCTAGGTACACAATTGTATCATCAGTGAACAGTGGCAATTTGACTTCCTCTTTCCTGATTTGGATGCTGTTTATTTCTTTGCTCTGGCTAAGGCAGACTTCCAGTACTATGTTGAATAGAAGTGGTAAGAATGGGCATTATTGTCTTGTTTCAGTTCTCAGAAAACATGCTTTAAACTTTTTTCCATTTAGGGTAATGTTGGCTGTGGGTTTTCCATAGATGGCTTGCTTTTTTTTTTTTTTTTTTTTTTTTTGAGACAGAGTCTCTCTCTGTCACCCAGGCTGGAGTGCAGTGGCGGTTTTTTGGCTTACTGCAATCTCTGTCTTCCAGATTCAAGCAATTATCCCACCTCAGCCACCCCAGTAGCTGGGACTACAGGCACTCACTATCAATGAGTAAAGGTTTTTGCCTTTTTAATAATTTTTAAGAACGTAAATTATTATTATTATTATTATTATTATTGAGACAAAATCTCACTCTGTTGCCCAGGCAGTGGCATGATCTTAGCTCACTTCAACCTCCTCCTTCCAGGTTCAGGTGATTCTCATGCCTCAGCCTCCCGAGTGCCTGAGATTATAAGAACATGTTACCAGCCGGGTGTGGTGGCTCATGCCTGTAATCCTAGCACTTTGGGAGGCTGAGGTGGGTGGATCACCTGAGGTCAGCAGTTCAAGACCAGCCTGACCAACATGGTGAAACCCGGTCTTTA